TTTGGTACATTAAGAATTGGGTATTCGACACTCGAGTTAATTGCAATTCTTTTTAAGAATCTAAACAAACATTCTATAGAAACTGTATGAGAATTTAGTCTAATAGGTCATCGTTTTTACAATTATATAATTACATCAATTGAATATTTTTAAATACCGCAAGTCAAATTTATATGAGTATAGAAAATTGTACAAGATTTAAAACACTACTAAATGTAGCAAAACTTTTTATTTAAGTGACAATTATTTATATACTACCAAACTCTATTTAACATGGAAAAAATTAAAAATCTTTCATTTATAGACTTCCAAGTTAATTTACTAGTAGTTAAATCTTTAAACAATGGCAATCCACGAAAATCTTGGTAACAGCCCGTTATTGGGTTGGAAAAAAATCACATGTCTATAAATTTTCAACATGTGGAGTTTGCTTTCATTTACTTTTTCCCATCTGTTGTAATTAGATGCTCTAAAAATTATAGTAATTATTATCAAATGACAAGTATACGTTATTCTGAGATGAAACACTAATATAATAAACAGTAAACATGTACCACGAGACATGTGTTGGATCGACTTTCACTTTGAGATCGGTGTTCTTATAATTTATTTTCAGTATTTAAAAGATATCAAACATTTTCACGTGCTCGTTAAATTATGAAGCTTTAAAACTCACCACCTTTTAATAAAATATTATATTAATTTATGGAATATTTAATGAGTAAGAAAGACGTATAAACATAAGAATTCATGAAGCTATATTTTTAATTGTGTACAATGATTCTCCAACATTGACAAATGAAATATCTTACAAGTTCTAGATTTCAAATATTTTCTAAATCAGTTGCGATTTGTGCTTGGCGGGCGGGATAATGAAAGAAATCTTTGAATTTAAATTAACTCTGTTAATATACAATTTCAATAGTGTATTCTATTATTTTTTTTTTCTTTATGGCTGCATAGGCATTTCCTGTTGCAGGTAAAACAGTTATGACTTTTTAGTAAAAACAAAAGCATATTTAACTTTTACCTCGTGCAGTACATATATGAAATTTAAATATATTAATACGTGGTGCCGAATGTCATGGGTTTTTATTTGATCTCCATTTTATGTTCCGCGTACGTAAAAATAATGGTTGTGCATATTTTTAAATAACATAATATGCCTAATTTCGTGTTTTAAATGAGTAATACTATACCATACCCATAAATACTATCCAAACATATTTGCTTTTTTGTGCCTATTACTTAGGTGCGTGATATATTGTTATTTTATATAGGTATTTTATTACTAATATTTAACTGCCATGCGTAAAGTTTGGTATGACATTATGTTAGGAGTACGTAACAAATCACCTCGCAATTTTACAGTAAACCTTTTCAACCGAGATATTTTTCAGTTTATTTTGAAATCGGTATTCTTATAGAAATGAATATAAATGCTGTTCATTTGTCATCAAACTAAACATTATAATATTGTAAGTATAAATAAATAGGGGATTAGGAATTCTTATAGGTATACGGTTAGACTGGTTATTGAAAACTCTGTCATCAATTTTATATACTTTTAATGAAAAAGGCTTAAGTCATCCTAATGTAAATTATACAATATACACGTCGGTTGTTTTATAAAATTATGGATTTCGACACACTTTTTTTTTCTTATGTTGTGTCAGTAAAAGGGGATTGGTATCACATCTTTGTTGATTGGCCGATAGTTTCAATTAAGTAATTTTTAGTGCCTGACTGTTTCGTAGTAGGTCATTTCTTTAATGGCAAAAAGTATGTTTACCATATTTAGCGAGCAAGATGTTAAATAATTAACATTTTCGTTTATTTTATGAGAGGGATTATTTGTATGGAAGTTCTGAATTATTTGATCGCATTTATTTTCAATGAATTTAAAAATCTCGTAACTATGTAAAGCATTTTATTTTGCATAAAATTTGGCAGTGTTCATGCTTTTAAATGTAAAACTTAGGTGATATTTTTTTAGAATTGTCTCGATATGTATTAAGAATCGTTTCAATATATACTTAATTACATTAGCAGCTTTGTGGCCGCTTAATTTATTTTCAGTTCCCATTCTTAATTAGTTCTTTAACTAAATTCCATAGTTGTCGCTGAAATGTGTAAGGGACATTTATAAGTCCAAATGGCAATATCTTATTACTGATAATTTGATATTAATGCTTTAATACTAGTGTTACTATATTTATATAATATAAAAATGTAATTCTATTACAAATATATCACTTATAGGCCCGTATTATTTAAACAAAGTAAATATAATTAATGTTTCTAACAGCGCGGTATTTGCGCTCTAGGCCGTTTCTTGATTGATCGGAATGTCGATTTTTTAACCAATAGAGACTTCAAATTCTTGACATAACGCGACTGCGATTTAATTCGTTTACCTTGCGAAAACAAATGTAACGCATTGTTATTTATTGTACTGCATTAGACAAAATATTATCTTGATGTATTTAGTAAATTCGATTGTGAAGTCGCTCGCGAATTTGATAATCCTCGATATAATTATCATTTACTTGTCATGATTAATGACTTGACAGTGGCAGAATTCTATGTAGAGAAACCAAAAATTAAAAAAAAGGATAAATAGTTGACCGCAATTATTTCTATTTAATTATAGATGCCTTTAATAGTAAATATTGTAAATGATGCCTACAGTAATAAAAATAATTGCCGCTTATTTACTTAACGGCGGTATTTATACAAATAATAATATGTGGCATGTCGTGCCAAAACATTAAAGTCTAACAAGGCAATGTTGACGTCGACGCCAAGGCAAAGAGGCAACGGATGTCGAATCGTAGCCATACTGACCAATCAAGAAATGGTCGTAGGTAATTCAGAACTGCGCGTGCCCTGATCTTCTGTATAAAGCTTGTGATGTATGTAAGTTAGCATAGAGCATCCGTAAATCTGTAATTATGTGAAATTCTAAATAGCATTAATGTAAAATAAAAATAATACAATGTTAAGACACCGGACGACGGAGCGAGATCAGATTATTTTTTGTAATTACAAATTCAGTATATTTACTCAGCCACGTTAATATATTTATTTATTTAATGGAAGGAATTAAAATCGTTTTTCAAACGACTTAAAAGACGAGGTTCTCAATTGAGCAATCCAAAAATGAGCCACTTTTTTATGTGAACCGATTTTGACGATTCTTTTTTTATATGAAAGCTGTTGCTTTTGATGTGGTCCTATACAAATTTAATTGACTGCGGCTACATTGATGATGTTCTCATTTTCTGCCGACTTCCAAAAGGGAGACGGTACTCAATTCGACTGTATGTTTTTTATGTGTGTTACCTCATAACTTTTTACTGGGTGAACCGATTTCGATGATTCTTTTTTTTATTTGAAAGCTGATACTTCTCGTGTGGTCCCATATGAATTTGATCAAGGTCGGACCAATAGTTTTTGAGTTATTCTTAATAACTTATATTGAAGTCGGCTGAACAAAATTTTTAATTTTAAATGATATATAATATATTGAAGTCGGTTGTACAAAATTTATAAATTTACCACTTTTATATCTTTAGCATGCAAGCTTCAGTTACGGACAGTATTTTATGAACATAGGAATTTTCATAACTTGTTTTATACAGCATAAAACAAGTTATAAAATTCCTAAATTTGAATATAGGTGATCTTATATTCCAATTTACGAATTTTCATAATTATAAAAATTTACTCAAATATGAAAACAATAGATAAAATTGTGGTAAGAAAACTACAAATAAAAGCTAATTGAGACGAATGTAAAGTTTAAATTGTTTATTATAGAGTAATATTATAGTTTGAGTGACCGTTCTGTCTTAGCGTGCAGAGGGTAGGGAGGGGGGTAGGGAGGGGGATAGAGTTGCGGCATTCGTGATAAACACCGACAATCGAGACTTCCTGTAGAACTCTTAGGCCCTTCGTAGAGAATAATATTTTAATCTGAATGAAACATTTTGTTCTGTCTTAATTTCATAGAGACTAGTCTTATTATAGTAGCTCACTTAATAGTAAGTGGCAAAATATACCGGGTGTACCGTGGCAGATTTACGATTAGTAAACGAAACAAATAGATAGTAGATGTGAACAAAAATTATGTATTGCCTATCAAATCAATCTTCACGCATGCGGGTTTTACTTTTTAAAGATTATGCCGTTTAAATGTCTTCCGTCGCGGCGTACACATTCACGGAACCTCTCGACACAATTCCGAGCGACGCGTTGCAATATTGATTGCGGAATAGCATTCACTTCTCGCTCGATATTTTCTTTTAATTCTAATATGTTTGATGGGTTGTTATTATAGACTTTTGCCTTAAGATATCCCCACAGGAAAAAGTCCAAAGGGGTGAGATGCGGCGATCTGGGTGGCCACACGATGTCACCATATCGACTAATCAGTTTTCTAGGGAACTGTTTGCGTAGTAAGCTCATGGTGGCTCTCGCCGTCTGAGCTGTGGCGCCATCTTGTTGAAACCACATGTGTGAACTGTACGATTTGTGCTCTCGAAGTTGCGGCAAGAAATATTCGTTTATCATGCGGCGGTAAGCAGCGCCATCAACGGTTACTGTTGCTCCACGGAAATTTTCAAAAAAAAAGGCCCAATTATTCCATTCGTTGATAAAGCTGCCCAAACGGTGACTTTCGGGCTGTGCAGGGCTAGTTGGTGCTTTAATCGCGGGTTTTGTCCTCTTGGTGCCGAATACCTGCAGTTTTGTTTGTTGACAAACCCATTTAAATGGAAATGTGCTTCGTCACTGAACCAAATTGTGTTTACAGTTGGAAATCGGCTTAGCATGTTTCCACCGAACTTCTTACGCGCTATGAAGTCACCTGGTTTAAGAGCCTGCACCAATTGGACCTTATATGGATGAAGTTTCATGTCCTTACTTAAAATTCGCTGCACGGTCGTTTTTGGTAGCGCCAAAGACGATGCTCTCTTGCGCACGGACGTGCGTGGATTTTACAGTACGCTGCTTTCAACACGTTGAATATTTTCTTTGGTCCTTGACGTCCGGCTAGGGTCTGGCCGAGGGTTCTTTATGGTTGAACCAGTTGCTCGGAACTTCTGCATCCACGTTCTAATTAAATTGGTAATAACACTTGGTTCGTCACTTAAACGTTGAATATCAAAACGTGTACAAAATCGACGACGGGCAATGGTACAGGAATCGTTACTTTTGAAGTACGATTCTACTGCGAACGCGCGTTGCTCACCAGTCCACTGCGACATCGTGACTAAACAATCCGCACCATTGCATCGTCGAATGCCACCCCTCCCCCGCTCCCTAACGCAACGGTTTAAAAAATATTTAAATTTCAAGTTGTAAATCTGCCACGGTCCAACCTGTATATAAAAGTTTTAAATTTAACCCCAAACTTCAGAAAAGCTTTACACTTCATTCTTATCAAGAGACCTTAAGTTTTTTTTAAATAAATTAGTATACAACATTGTTACCTCTAGTTACGTGGTTGAGTAAAAACTAAACAATATATATTATAATAAATAATAACATTATTTATTTTTTACATTCGTAAAATGTAACTATGATAAGTATTAAAGGCGTTCTATTTTCTACACGTACCGTGCCAAATATACAAAACCACATTTTGTACCTACACCGATGAATATTTTTGCAGGTGGCAACACAAAATGTGTATGTGTAAAAGTGTTGCCTGATAGAAGAAATATAATATTTTTATAACATGCGCTATGAGTTTTATGTTTCGATATTGTGCTGTATTTTTTTTTTTACTTGTCTGCGCGATTATTTGACTTTTGTTATATTCTATTAATTTATTCCCTTCCAAGGTTAATGTATTATTTATTCTGATATTTTTAAAGACCGACACAACCATTGTACCCATGAAATATGTCTAAATTTGTGCTCTGAATCAACTGCAAACTGTATTTTGGCTCTGAAACGCTAGTCAAGTGTTTTGTTACCTATATAACTGTTTATGTATTTTGTAACTTATATGATGTTATATAAGAATGTAATAAATCAGTACTGTATTTGAAATGAGTTTTTTCTCTCTCGTTATTTTTAAAGTACCACATGCCATATGCCGCAAGTCATCCAATGTAATTGTTATTCAAATCACGCGTAATGATGGTACCTATTTAGAATTTTCATTGTGTCATTATAACACTACAAAACAAGACCTGTCATTTCTAGTATTATATAGATGCATTAGCATTGACCTACTGCTAAATGGACCTCGGGTCCGCGCTCAAGTATCCGAGCCAAGAGAGTTCCAAAATGTAAAAAGAGCTCCAATACACATCCAAAATGCCGTAGTGTATTGTGTAAACGTACAGAAACGATTTATATTTATATATATTTTCTGTAGTCTAGCGTAACCTGTCCAACAATGAGCCACTTAAATTTTAGGACTTAACGTCGCTCTTTCTTAAGATATAAGATATAATTTTTTAGGCGAAGATAGCAAATTCAATCGGCTATAGACTGGCATTATTACTTTTCTCAAAATATTTATAGATATTTTATGACTAAGATTTAAAAAAAAAGGAAATGGTCCATTGTGTACATAAGTGTGTACACAATGAGCCTAGCAGTGGTAGAGCTACGCGGCAGCTTTTGCTGTCGCACGGATGGGCCGGCTCGAACCGGGGTGGTACCACGACCTCACAATACCAGCGTGAAGTAGAGGTTTACCTCTGTGTTTCGCTTGGTGAGTGCAGGTGGCCGGAGACCCTTTTTACTGGAAATGAGGCATTCCATCTTAGTCCTCACGGGTGACAACGCATCTGCATTTTGATTCGCAAGCGACGATAGATATAGATGTCTATGGGCCGCAGCAACCACTTACCCTCAGGTGGACTGTATGCTCGTTTGTCACCCTTATCCTATAAAAAAAAGCTATATTTAACAATGAGCCAACATCCGATGTACTTACTATTTTGTACTTTTGGCAATGAATTTGATAATAACATTGATAAAACAGTGCTTCTTGCTTATAACCTTAATTTTATTGGTTTATTATTATCATAGTGAAATAGTACAGACCATTTTATTTTTATTTCGAGTAAGTTTTCTTAAAGTAAAAGAAACTTAAACAAAAATTAAGGTTTTGAATAGTTATAAAATTAACAAAATTATTATCAAACACTGAAAAACCAGCTTAGTCAACTTATTTTATTATCAGTAACTTTATTAATAACAATCAGTCTCACAATCATGGTTTTCATTACAGCCCTTCACAAGTATACTTTTGTACATAGGCCTCCCCCAGGGAATGCCACAAAGCACAGTTCTGAACCACCTGCATCCATCGACTTCCTGCATGTCATACCAAGTCTTTACTCTCATGTCTTACCAGGTCGTCACTCTCATGTCTTACCAGGTCGTCACTCTCATGTCTTACCAGGTCGTCACTCTCATGTCTTACCAGGTCGTCACTGTCATGTCTTACCAGGTCGTCACTCTCATGTCTTACCAGGTCGTCACATCTCCACCACCATCCACTCTATGTTAAAAGCGGTGGCACAGACAAATCCAGATTACTTAAAAATTAATGACCGAAGCCATTCAATGGCCGCCATTTTCTCACGATTCCAACTATCAGGAGTTTTTATATATTTTTTTTTATAGGAGAGGGGGCAAACTAGCATGCGGCTCACCTGATGGTAAGTGACTACCGCCGCCCATGAACAACTGCAACACCAGGGGAATTGCAGATGCGTTGCCGGCCTTTTAAAAAGGAGTAGGCTCTTTTCTTGAAGGTCCCTAAATCGTATCGGTCCGGAAAAAATCGCTGATGGTAAAATCGATTCCACAAGGAAGTTGTGCGAGGAAGAAAACATCTTCTAAATCGCACAGTGGTGAACCGCCCATCATCCAGATGATGTGGATGGTATCGGGAGTTCTGCCACGATGTGCGTCCGTGAAATTTGGCGGCTGGGATTAATCCGAACAATTCCTCAGAGCACTCCCCGTGGTAAACGCGAAAGAAAATGCAAAGGGATACAACATCTCTTCGCAGTGCCAATGAATCGAGCCCATCGGAAAGGACTCGGTCGTCGACGATTCGAGCAGCTCTGCGCTGGATGCGGTCAAGTGGAAGGAGCTGGCACTGTGGAGCCCCTGCCCAGAGATGGGAACAGTATTCCATGTGAGGCCGAACCTGCGCCTTGTAAAGTTGCAGGCGGTGTGCCGGCATGAAATACTGTCCTGCTCTGCTGAGTACGCCAAGCTTTTAAAGGCCAATTTGGCCTTCTCTTGAACCAGTGACCACGAAACTGCACGTCACTCGATATGTCGACTCCGAGGATTCCGATACTGGCTGAGGCAAGAAGGGGAGTGCCTTGAAACTGAGGAGATACGACAAAGGGGTTCTTTTTAGCGGTAAACGCGCAAACTTGTGTATAGCTTGCTACATATTTATTTATCTATGCTTGTGTCTTCTGAGGATTAAACTGGACTAGATTTAGTCGCCCCCAATCCGAGACTTTGTTCAGCAAAGAGTCGACTTCAGACACAAGTTTGTTCCGGTACTCGGCGACGATTTCCCGAGAAATATTGTATTATTATATTATTTATATTTGCCATTTAATAAGCAAGGCTGCGGACGTCTTTAGTGGATAATCCATAAAATTTTTATGTAGATTGTTTGAAATATTCTTTCAGTGTTATTTTTGGTAATATGTTAATATTTTGTTGACATCACCATTGCTGGTTTTGTAAATCCGCAGTACTGTTACATTTTTTTTATATAACGCTGCAGTATCGGATAGCATAACTTACACTCCTTATCTGCCTTTCTGATGCTTTATCCTTGCCTATATAGTTTGATAGCTTGAAGCATTTTATCAGCAATGTGGTTACCTTTCTTGCTTTTGTTAGGTTTTAGTGCGCGCCATCTAAAATTAAAAAGTAAAATGACAATGAATCAGAATATCTATGTATGTATAGTGCCACCAAATTATCTGTGAACCGACAGCTTGGCGCTTCTGTGCTGAAGTGTTGCCAGTTCGGGAATATTCCCATCTAAGGGTCTTATATTCCTACATAGAGTCCACATACTAGGGTAATAAATTAGTCACGGAATAAAAAGACTAGAACACAGATTTAACAGATATATGTCCAAGAACAAGAAGAAACAAAAATATCATAATTGGACAACTTCAACTTTAATTAAATGACATGCCTTTATGCCTTTTTTACCGGGAGTTGTAATTTGCGTTCCTGTGGTTTATGCGGTTTCCGGTTCTATAACTATTTTGGAAATGAATCCAAAGAAATGAATTGCATTAACCAATCCATTTATCGGAAATACGAAAGGAAGGAACAAAACATAGCAATACTGGTCAGTATTGCTATGTTTTGTTCCTTCTTGTAGCAGCTAATACTCTTTTAAAGACCTGATTGAAAGACATTATCGGTGCTTACCCTCGAGCTTCTTGCTCACAAAAGTTTAATACTTATAAAATAATGTTTTGGGCATCACTTTTAATGGTTTTCGGCATTTTTTATTTTTCTATAAACTCTCAAAACAATGACGTATCGAGTGACATTTGATTAAATGGCGGCTGTAGTTCGCAATTTTGCCGCAGCTGTCAGTTCACAGATAAGTTGGTAGGACTATAGCGAAAGAGAAAAGAAAAAGCTTTTTAGTGAATGATATGTGTAGTTATATACATACTAAACAACACAGAACACTAGCAATGGGCTACATGGAAAACGATGAAACACGATTAGTACACAATGAAACATGCCTCATTGTGTACAACGTGGTTTTGTTTCATTGTGTACTACTCGTATATGTCATATATTTTAATAACCTTGAAATAAAAATGTAAAATAAAAACATTCTAAGTATGTTTTATACGTAACTGAAATCTGTAATGTACAATGTCATGCAATATTAAGAAAAAAAGCAAACTAACACATAATAATGAAAAATCGACGAATATCAATGAAAAATCTTACTTTTTTGCATAAAATCTGTTAAATCACTACCGTACGATAGCTTCGCACGCGCCGCACCCACGAACTGGGTTACCCTATATAGTATATTATCTATGAACTGGGTTATTGGGAGTAGTCTTGGGGCCGCATCTTTAAATGTACTGTGCACTATCTAACAACGTCGCATTTTTGAAATATGGAAATGTATCATTGTGTACTACTGGCTCAATTTTGGACAGGTGGCCCTATTCATATTTAATAATTTAAAAGTAATATTTTGCTTAGATATGTACACATATTA